AGGAGTGGGGCCTAGGCTTAGTAGCCTAGGCCCACACTAAGAGGTAGTAGGATGTGCCCTAGGACTAGGGTTTTGGGTATGCGAAGGAGAATGGTGAGAATGAGATGAGCAAAGCAGTGCATTAAATGTAGGCATGCGTCCCACAAAAGCAAGACGTCACGAATGGCCGTCTCGCTGTCGGGAATGGCGTCTCGCTGTCGCGAATGACGTCGCGCTGTCGCGAATGGCGTCTCGCTGTCGCAAATAACATCTCGCTGTCGAAAATGACGTCTCGCTGTCACGAATGGCGTCTTACTGTCACGAATGGCGTCCCACTCTCGCAGATTACGTCTTGCTGTCGCGAATGACGTCTCGCTGTCAGGAATGGCGTCTCACTGTCGCGAATGGCCTCTCACTGTCGCAAATGGCCTCTCACTGTCGCGAATGGTCTCTCACTGTCGCGAATGGCCTCTCACTGTCGCGAATGGCATCTCACTGTCGCGAATGGCATCTCACTGTCGCGAATGGCCTCTCACTGTCGCGAATGGCGTCTCACTGTCGCGAATGGCGTCTCTCTGTCGCGAATGGCGTCTCTCTGTCGCGAATGGCCTCTCACTGTCGCGAATGGCCTCTCACTGTCGCGAATGGCCTCTCACTGTCGCGAATGGCGTCTCACTGTCGCGAATGGCGTCTCACTGTCGCGAATGGCCTCTCACTGTCGCGAATGGCCTCTCACTGTCGCGAATGGCCTCTCGCTATCGCGAATGGCCTCTCACTGTCACGAATGGCCTCTCACTGTCGCGAATGGCCTCTCACTGTCGAGAATGGCCTCTCACTGTCGCGAATGGCCTCACAGTCGCGAATGGCCTCTCAGTGTCGCGAAGTCAACTTGGGCTCAACCTCATGCCGCATTCAATGCGAACTTCGAAGTTCGAGACTGGCCTCTCACAATGAGAGAACTGATTGCTTCAGTTCCGTAACACCCCGCTCCCATAGTGCGCGAATTGATTGCATCAGTACGTGAACGTCTAATACATTCTTATCCTCGTTTTAGTGCTCTTCACTTCACTTATAATATTCCCATGACAGGAACAAAAGGCCGCCGAGCAGCAGGCGCTGATGGACGTGCAGCTCTGCGTGCAGGCTGGTTGACTCTTGAGCTTATCCCTATTATGGAGCTCTTCGCTTCCCTTATAAATTTCCCATCCGAGTATCAAAAGGCTGCGTGAGCGCAGATTATGGACTCTTGAGCCATTATGGTGCTCCTTAATATACTTGGCGCAGGCCCTAGACTCTCTCACCGTTCTCTACCGCTTCCTCACCCTCACCTCCCAGGTACCCTCATCCTTCCCCTCATTCACTCCTAGGTACCCCCCCCCCTCTCTCTCTCTCTCTCTCTCTCTCTCTCTCTCTCTCTCTCTCTCTCTCTCTCTCTCTCTCTCTCTCTCTCTCTCACCGCTCTCTACTGTTCCCTCGCACTCACCTCCCAGGTCCCTCGCATCACCTCATCCATTCCCTCTTCCCACTCTACCCATAGCCTTCGTCTTACCGTTATTCCGCTGTCGCCACTTTTTGAATGGCCCTTTCATTGATTTGATTTTCCAAGTGTACAGGCTTGTAAGGTATGGGCATCTCATTTGTAGGGCTAGTGCATAATCCCCAACCTACCCACTCGTCGGCTCCGCACCCTCTAAGCTGGATCCAGTGCAGGATCAAGCGCCGAAAGGTAGTCCCCAAGGGACGGGGCCTCACCCACCCTCTCTAGTAGCGGGTTTTCTACCGCTGCCGCTATGCTGCATTTTTCAAGATATCCAATTGACTGCCCTCTTTGTAGGGCCACCGACCACCGCTGCCGGAAACGATGTAAAAGTTTGGCAGCTTGGTAGGAAGATGGCTCGGCGTTAAAAGACCGCCGTGCAGCCGTCTCAGCGAGCAGCTTTAGGAAGTCAACTGTCTCGGGGCATGGGCACCCGTATGTCTCGACCGCGAGTGGGAAAAACTTCACCCACTCTGGGCGGTCCTTGTAAAGGCCGTGTTTCTTATCTGCTGCCTACCGTGCCGCCCACCCTCGCCCTTTGGTTGCATTCTCATCGCGGGTGCTGATGGGGTCGGTTACCGTCACATCACAGATGTAGACGGCCCCGGTAGAGCGGCAGCGTAAGGCCAGATCCGCCTTCTTCTCCTCCACTCGGCTGAAGGCGGCTGTTTCGATGTGCACCATGAAGCCAGCATCACGCGCCATCCGTGCGCATTCGTCTCTAAGTTCATTGTGTGTGTTGGTGCGCCCCCCCCCTGTGCCGCACCGTAACAGATGATTCGGGAGGCGTTTGTCTGGGATCTCTACTTTCTTTGAGCAGTTGCAAACCCCGGGAGCTGCGAAGGGGAGGCCAAGCAGGAACTGGAGCGCGTTGGCATAGTGGGGAGCCTCGAGGCGTAGCGAGGGGTGGAGGGGCACAGCGTTTGACCAGTCCCCAGCCCCGTACCCTGACAGGGACAGCAGCCACTGCGTATGACCATTGTTGGGGTTGGGGCTCATGCCCCGCACCTCCTCCATCCGCACTGCATAGCGCTGGCCTTGAATGGCTGTGGCCAGCCCGTGCTGTAGTTTTCCTGCAGTCGGCGCCGTTCTCTCCGCCTGCAGGGCTTCTTGGGCCGGCAGTGGGAGCTCCTCCTCGCATTCCGCTAGCCATTCGGTCAAAGGGGAGGACCGTGTGTAGGGGCCGCGCATCAGTTCGCGTGTAGCTCCCAGTGGGCCGGTGCATTCGCCCTCCTGAGAATCAAGCAGGAGGTGCGCCTGCGTGTAGCTGGCGAGGAAGCTGTAGCTCCCCTCCACTGAGGGGTCCGTCAGGCCAAGTCCGCCGAGTGACGTGGGGAGAGAGGCCTGTGCCCATGTGCGTGAAGTTTCCTCCTCCCTCCGCGGGTGGTTAATGCCGCAGGCCATCAGGAGCGTTTCCAGCAGCCGCCTACCCCATTCAGACAATTCCTCCTTGGGCAGAGACGGTAGTGGAGTCGTGCGGGCCAGGTAGGACACACGGCGTGAGATGCATCGAGACAGTAGTAGTCCTGCCAGCTGCGGCTCCATCCGCTCAATCAACCCTAGAGGTGCACTCATGGCTTCAAGGCTGGATCGTACGAAGGCGGAGGTAGCCGTGGGGGTGCCGATGTAGCTGCCCAGCACTTTCAAGCCATTGCTGCTGGGCGGAACTCCTTCAGGTAGGTGATATTCCGTGGGCGTTGCATTTGACCATGCCCCGCACTTGGCAGGATTGTGTTTGAGCCCGATTTCTGCCAGGCAGCCCGTGAAGTGGTCAAATGCAGCTGCGCACGACGACGGTTCTCCCAAGAACGTAACGTCATCCGCGTAAGCCAGGCAGATGACCTCCGGGTGTGCCTCCGCGGCCGCCCTTAGGGCTGGGTGCATGGCCGCGGCAAAGAGAAGGGGGCCGAGGGGATCCCCCTGGCGGACCCCGGTTTCACTGAGAAGGGGCGGGTGATTAAAGGCTGCGTCTAGATGCAGGGTGGACGGCTGGCCGTAGGAGAAGTGTACCAGTGGCAGCAGCGGCTCTAACTGTGAACCTTTCAAGGTCGTCGCTATTGCGTGGCGGTCAACGCTGTTGAAGGCGTTGGCCAGGTGAGCCTGCAAGATCAGTGCATTCTGGTTGGCCGTGGTGAAAGTATGAACTACGTGGATGACTGCTTCAGCTCCTCCAGGCACGGCCACTCCAAATTGTAGAGGTAGGAAGAACTCTCGTGCCGCGTCTGCCAGCTGGGAGAGAGCTTCTTTGGCTGCTAATCGGAGGATACACTCGCCTATGGCAATCGGCCTGGTCCCTCCATCAGGCTTGTCGAGGGCTATCAACCGAAATGCTGTAAGAAGCTTCCCTACTTCCCCGCGCAGCTTCCCACGCAGGATTGTATTGACTAGCGCGTGTAAGTGAGAACTAACCGTGGAGTCTATCAAGGTAGCTTTGCGCAGGTGCTCGAACGTCGTGCCTGAGGGCCCCGCGCCAACTCCATTCTCACACTTCGAAAGAAGCTTCAAGAAAACTTCCCGTGACACTGTTATGTAAGAGTCCGGTTCAGGCTGGGGCCACAGTGCATCAGGGTGCGAGGCGCTTGGGTGTTTGGCGCGCAGGGATTCCAGAACCTCGGGGGATGGCTTGCTGACTGGAGTGGCCTCGAGTGCCATGACAGCCCTCCGCAGACTGTCACGTCGCGCCAGACCTTGAGCCCTGGATATGACACCCAGGTCATCAGGTTGGTGTCTGGGGAGGGGGAGGAAGATCTAGCGAGTCTACTGTTTCCTGGTACAGTGATTCCCACTCCCCTCGCAGGAATTTCCACAATCGGTTTTTGGCCGCCTTCCAGTCAGGGTGCTTCGGCGAATGCTGACGCAGCGTTAGGCGAGCGGCAAACAGCAGAACCGTCCAGGCTTGGATGGAATCTGGGTCGCGGGCGAGTCGCAGCAGAGGTGTCAGTATAACCATTGCGAAGAGGAGGCACAGTTTCTCGGGGAGGCGACGTGCCAGAGGTGCGTTGCGATTGTCGCGTAGCCTGTCCAGATCCCAGTCACTGACACTTGCGAAAAGCGTGTCATCCTTGGCGAGGTCTTCGGGCGATTTTTGGGGGGGGGGTTGTGACTGCTATTGGTTACCCCTTGCTGAAGTTCATGGTGCAGTCGCTGGCGCCGGTGTCAGGGTTGGATGGGCGGGTTGGTTGGCAGTGGTGGCAGGGTTGGCGGTAGCGGTTCGGAGCTGTGGTGAGGGTCGCGGCTGGGTGGGTGTACATCTGAAATTTGATCCTCTGCCGAGCAGGGGTGTGTGACTGGGCCTCATCAGAGGCATTCGGACTTGAGTCTGCCCCGTCTTCCTCCGCCTCATAAATACTTCCCAAAACTACGTTTGCTTCATTAGCTTCTCCTAGTTCACTTAAAGCCCTTCTGGCTGCTGCCTGGAACGCGTTCTCCGGACCACCCTCTCGGTAACCCCTGCCACGCCCGCAACCTCCGGCGCGACCCCCGCATGTTCGTGCGCTGGCTGCGGCCAGCAGTGGACTTCTTTGACCACCTCCTCCCGCGCTCTGACGCACCCATGCGTCCTCCAGCGCTTCCTGTCGTCGCGTTCGCCGTAATGGCGACGGAAGCGGAGAAATCGGCGGTGAACCAAGGTCACACCGCCGAGAGCGCGCTAGCTCCGCCTCCTGCTACCGTGGCCGCTGCCACTGGTGCCCCGTCTGTTCCTCCTGCTCCCCCTGCCGCTGCTGCGATGTCAACGGTCCCTGTCCTTTTGGCGCCTGCTTCCCCGCCGAGCTTCCCCCTTCCTCACGACGTGCCTGCGTCTGGCGCGTCGGCTCCTGTTGCGCCGCAACCGCTTGCGGCACCGCTGCGCGTTCAATCTGCCGCCGATGGCCTTGCGCAGGGGACAGCGGCGGGCGTCGGCCCCGATTCTGCACGCTTGGTGGCCCCCGCGATTGCGCCAGAGCAGCCCATCACGCAACAACGCACAGAGTCGCAGAGCCGCGGTCCCGCGGGAGGCAACGCGGCAGCGCATCGAGGGCGAGGTTCTCCTCGGCGTCGCCCCTCTCCATCGTACCGGTCTGCACATCGTGGAGGCCGCGGTGGTTGGTAGGGAGGTCACGGTCACGGGCGCGGGGGGCCAAGCGAGATGCAAAAGCTGCGCGAGGATTTTCCAGGGATGTTGGCTGCGGCGATGCGCGCGGCTCTGTCCGCTGCACTGGTTCCTGAAAGCTCAATTGTTCCCGCCGCCGCAGCGCACGCTCCTGCTCCTGCGCCTGCGCGCGTTCCGCCTGCGCCACACGTGGCCCCTGCACCAAACGCCCAGGCATACCTGCAGGTCCCTGCTCCAGCCGCCGATCATGTTCCACTTGCTGCCCCTCGCCCGGTCTCCGCAGCCCCATATCCTCCTCTGCCCTGGGTTCCTCCGGTTCTGGGCACGGGATTTGTGGGAGCGGGAGGCGGAGAGGCGAGGGGGCCATTTGTTCCTCCGCGCCGTATTGCTGATGTTCAGGCTACGCCATCTCCGCCAGCTCTCCACGTTCCTGCTGCAGCCCAGGTGACCGGGCTGGTCCAAGTTCCCACGGCGACGCTCGCGCAGCTGTGGCGCTTGGTGGAGTGCCAGCAGGCCCTGACACTGATTCTGGTGAATTCACATTTTGCCATTCTCTGTCGGAGCCTAGGGAGCACTCTCGATCCTCGTATGCGAGCTGATTGTTTGGCTGCGGCTGCGCAGGTTGCCTTCCTCCTGCTGCCCGTGCTGGCAGCGCCCGCGATGGGAGGCGTAGCGGTCTCGCAGCTGGACGAGACCGTCCAGAATCTGACAGGGCACCTCCGCGAAGGAGGCGCTGTTGAAGCTGTCGGCTCGACCACATTGGCCAGGTCGGGTCGTGACGGGAAAATCCTTAGGCCGTTCCGATCCGACCCATCCCGTTCCCGGGTCGACTTGACCCGACTCGGCCGGAGCAAAATCGGTTCAGGTCGGGTGGGGTCGACCTGTTGCTCATCTCTAGTCGTGCCAGTTGGCTCCTCTTGCCTGTGTGCCTCTGTCCTTGTCCCTGTGCGGCTGTGCTCATACCCACTCCCCTCCCCATCCCCTCCCCTCGCTCCCCTTCCTCCCCTCTCACCCTCCCCTTCTCCCCCTCTCCCCCTCTTCCCCCTCTCCCCCTCTCCCCCTCTCCCCCTCTCCCCCTCTCCCCCTCTCCCCCTCTCCCCCTCTCCCCCTCTCCCCCTCTCCTCTCCCTCTCTACCCTTCTCCCCGCTGCCCCTCTCGCCCTCCTCCCCTCCCTCCCCCTCTCCCCCTTTCCCCTCCCCCCCCCTCTCCCCTCTCTCCCTCTTACCAAAGTGCACATAGAGAGGAAAGTGGCAGCACACATTGAAGCTGTTGGTGGCCGGCCAGGATACAACTGACTTGAGGTGAGGCACAGAAGAACCTGAGGGGAGACGCACATTTCCTCTCAGTATTGCAGGATCTCAGGTGAGAGATGTTGTGAACCATTATTCAGCTACGCATTACATGGTAGCACGCATTGAAGCTGTGGTGTCTGGCAGGATACAACTAGCCTGAGGTGAGGCATTGCAGTACCTTTCAGCAATGCAGGATGTGAGCTCCAGATGATTCTTCCAAAGCTAAGCCTTCTCCAGCTTTGCCTCAGCCGCCCGTGATCCTGACAGAGATGCCACGTCAGCTCCTGCTGACGTGGGAGCTCCTGCTGACGTGAGAGCTCCTGCTGACGTAGAAGCTCCTGCTGACGTGGGAGCTCCTGCACCTGCTGATATGGCAGCTGAGGCACCAGCAGGAGGAGCCGCAGAAACAAGCTGGTGTAGGATCAGCCATATACCTAGAATCAGGAGCAAGGGAAGGAGCGGCAGTAGCAGAGATTGCAGGGGAGGAGGAAGAAGCAAGAGGTGCTGCTGTGGCTGCAGCAGGGGCATATGCCACTGTAGGAGCAGCATTCGGCAGGAGTGGCAGGAGCGGCAGTAGGGGCAGTAGTGGAAGGAGCGGCAGGAGCGAGTATGTTTTTTTGAGAATTCTCAAAAAACAGAAGCAAGAGGTGCTGCTGTGACTGTAGCAGGAGCAGCAAGAGTGGCATGAGTGAGCAGAGAAGGGATTCAATATGAGGTTGGTCCATTACTAGCACACAACAGATGTGACAATGGCGGGAGTGACAGCAGTAGGAGTGGCAGCAGCAGCAGAGCTTTCAGTTGAGAAAAGGGCGAGTGGAAGGGGGGTGACGGAAATGGAGATTCATTGTGAGGGGAGGCGTGAGCGGAGGCATGAGGAGTGGAGGGGTGAGCGGAGGCATGATGACGGGAGGTGTGAGCGGAGGCATGAGGAGTGGAGGGGTACCATCAGGTGCAGAGCAAGGAGATGGGAGGGAGAAAGAGGAGGAAAGAGCGGGGTGCGTGGAGAAGGGGAGGAGTGTGGAGGGAGAAGAGGAGTGGGTTAGGCCTGATAGAGAGGAGGAAGGGAATGGCCGTATGGGGGATGGGAGGGATGAGAGAGGAGAATGTGAATTGCTGTATGGGGGATGGGAGGGATTAGAGAGAGGAGGAGCTCAAGAGGCATGGGAGGGATGAGGAAGAAGAAGGGATCAAGAGGAGTGGGAGGAGGGAATATAAGGCAGGTGAATGCACAAGAATGTGGTTATGTCAGTGGAGGAAGCGGAGATTGATTCGAGCAGAGGAGGGAGAGATGAAGGGGAGAAGGAAACCATTAGGAACGGGTGGGTAGAGGAATTGAAAGGTTGTGGTAAGAATGGGGCCGAATCGATTAAAAAAGGGGAGGTGGTGGGGAAAGCCACGGAGGGAAGCAGGGAGTATGGGGCACACGATAATGTTGGGGCCTTTTTGAGTTGTTTTTACATAAGCCTTGAGACGTCTCAGAACAAGCATGATACTGGTGGGGGTAGGGCAATCAGGGTAATAATAGAGCCAAAGACAAATGCCAGTTATGCGGCTGTTGCTGCCGCCACTGCCGATGCTGATGCTGCTGATGCTGGTGGTGTTGATGCTTGTCCCATTGGTGCTTATATGGAGTGCGGTGCATAGGAGGTGGAGGAAGGAGCATTTCAGTTTGACAGCTGCAGCCCAATGGATGCTGTGGTTGGGGTGACTATAGCAGAAGCTGTTGTAGTAGGGGATACTGTAGCGACTCGCGAGGGATACTATAGAAAGGGATACTGTAGCAAGAGGGTACTTTAGCAGGGGATGATATAGCAGGGAAGAAAGAAACGACACATCCACCTGCTGATACACCTGTTGCCGCGTGTGTTGCCCCTTTGCCTGTCTTTCCTGCTGTTGCTGACCAAGGCTCTGCTGCAGCTGCTACTTCAGTGGTTTCTCGATCTTTTATTTTCACCTGGAAGCTCGTGGAGCAATCGACAAGCCAGTTATGGGGTAATTGGATCAGGATTCAGGAGGAGCAGGAGGATCTGAAAGGGCTGTAAAATGACTTTTGAGGCGCCTCAAAACTCGTGGTGCAGTCGACAAGCCAGTGCTGGGGTACCTCGATCAGGATTCAGGAGAACCAGGAGGATCTGAAAGGGCTGTAAAATGACTTTTGAGGCGTCTCAAAACTCGTGGTGCAGTCGACAAGCCAGTGCTGGGGTACCTCGATCAGGATTCAGGAGGAGCAGGAGGATCTGAAAGGGCTGTAAAATAACTTTTGAGGCGCCTCAAAACTCGTGGTGCAGTCGACAAGCCAGTGCTAAGGTACCTCGATCAGGATTCAGGAGGAGCAGGAGGATCGGAAAGGCCTGGAAAAAGAGGGGAAGAGGGAGGAAGTGATTGGTTTAGAGTTTGACAGGAAGAAGAGACAAGTTTGGAGTGGTCGAGTCAAGAGGTAAATGGTGGTGGGGATGGGAGTAGGCTCAGTGCACTCTTGGATAGGAGAAACTGTCTTAGAGCAAGGATCTACACCCATGCTTGGTATTATGGTAGGCTGGACATTGGGAATGTTTGTCTTGGAAATAGTTTATATGTGTGGTGCACTACCTTGTCCTGCCTCGCAAGCTTCTTTCAAGCTAGTGTCCAACATCGCAACAAGCGCTGTTTCGAAGCAGCCAAAAGCAACCATTAGTAAGCGCAGCCGCCGGTCAACCATGGCATCTCCCACCAGCCTTTCCTTGGCCCTCGCGCTGTTCTGCCTCCTGCACGTGGCACACGCTGCGAACATGCCCGCGGGTGGTTGCCACACTCATTATGTGTGCCCCTACATAGACAACCTCTCCACCGCAACCATAACGGCGTCCACGTACACCAACTACAAGTACATCGGCGATTTCCAGGGGCTTTTCAACGACCAGGGCGAGCAGTTCACGCCGCACCAGCGCGGGTCGAGCCCTGTGAATTTTGAGCGGTACATGGAGGTGGGTGTTAGAAATTGAATGATGGTTCATTGATGTGGGTTGGGGTACATATAGCAAACCCTAACATTTGTACCCCCTAAGACAAGCCTCACTACAGGCTACAACATTTGACACACCCCCATAGCCTAAGTGAGGAGGATCTAGCAAAGACAAAAGAGTATGGTCACAAGCTCAGGGTGGATCACAACGTCACCACACATTCTGAGCGCAAGCAAAGGGCCACAAGGCCAGTCAAAGAGTTCAGAGGTATATAAGTAATGAGTACAAGACAACAAGCAACAACTATGCACGACGAGAACCAGAGTCTACAAGACCTAACTGCACACAACACCTGTGGTGGTCACAAGGCGGAAGCGCCTTGGTGAAGATGTCGGCAGTGTTGGCCTCGGACTCCACAAATTCCAAGCGAGCATGTCCACGCCTCTGCAACTCTCGCAGAAGAAAGTACCTGACGTTGATGTGCTTCACTCTGCTCTCCAGTCGAGGCTCACGACAGAGAAGAATCGCCGCCTTGTTGTCAGTGAACAAGGTCGGTGCAGAGCTCGGCCGCTCACCAAGGTCAGTGAGCAAGAAAGTCAACCAACGCAGCTCCTGTGCCGCCATGGCTCCAGCGTAGATTCCAGCCTCATCGAGACCGAGGAGGAGCGCGTGGACCTCCACAAAACAGCTCCAGAGCCCAGGCTGAAACAGTAACCCTGAGTAGACCTGTGGGTCTCTACGTCGTCAGCGTAAGAAGAGTCACAGT